GCTGAAAATTCAGAGAGTTGGAACAGGAAAAGTGATTAGTATTACTGCATTATCTGTTTTTCATTTTAATTTTTGATTATCTATAGGCTCTCAATTTATATTTCATTTTCAATTTAATGCCTAATGTGTATTGGGAGTGCAAAAATTACTTCTGTCAATATTGAATAATGTGTTTTATTTTGCTAGTAAAATAAATCAACACTGTAAGACAATTGTGTTTCAAACACTAAAGTTTTGATATTATACATCATCTAATTCAACTTATGTAAATGGATCTCTTGACTTTCTTGATTTCAGATATAAATTTCACTTTCATGCAGAACTAAAAACACTCTTTAATTCTCACAGGTCGCCTGGTGAGCATGTTAGAATCCTCTACATCAACGGAACCATCCCCAATGCCTGACAGACGACTGCAACCTAAAAAAGGCAGACTAAAGTAAGTAATGCACATTCCAATTCTATGTTATTAGGTTTAAATACTTGCTCACTGCATGCACAAATTGATGTTTAACCAAAAATAATAGATCAGAATTGAAAATTTAGATAATGCAAACTGCAACCATGAACTCTGAGGTAAACATCTACACAAACATGAGCTTCTTAAGAGCACATCTTGAAATTACTCATATTGTATTCACAACCACAATAAATGCTGTCTTGGTACAAGAACCATCAGTCATTCTGTGGCTTGATCCAAGATTGGCAATAATGTCTTTGTTTTGATTTTGTTTGTTCCTTTTTTTTATAACTTGATGGTTCTTGTATCATGTCACAGAATGAAAATGATGGTTCTTGTACCAAGACACACAATTTATTTGATTAAGACTGTAATCAGAAAATGCCACTTGCATAGTTCTATTGCATATTTTATTTCATTGTACAACTGTTTTCATCCCACACATACAGCTAACTGAAAATACTTCTGAAGGGTTGTCCATAAATTACATAATGCTAAAGAGGGGGGTAGGGAGTTTGAGGTCATGTTACACTGGGTTACATAGGGGTGGGGTTATTAGTTATTGTTCGTATCATTGATATTTTTTGTTTTCCTTTTTTCAACATTTGCTGAAGTAATAATTTTTTGTATTACACTAAAACATTAAAATATTAACTGAGTAATTCTTTTTGAAAACATAAATAAATTAAAGTTATTGATGTAAATTTTTACAATAAATGAAAATATGTTTTGATCTTTTTTTATTGAGTCTGTTAGATTATATTGAAGAAAATATTTAAAACTGATATGTAACATATTCTAAAATCCACTTAAATTGTCACAGTGCACTCTCGCCCATGCATTCTTCCTTCCCTCACAACTTGCCCCTAATCTTGTTAGGTGCAGTCAGTATTGCCAATTTTTTTTGACTTAAATTATCATAAATTTTAATATACAACGCAAATAAAATAAATACAAATTATTGTTTTTACTGTGTTATAAGTTATTTTCACTTCTTGCATTTACAAGGGGAAGGGGTGTCAAGCGTTTCGCAATTATTATGGGAGAGGGGGGGATGGTCAACCGCGTGTTACAGGTGGGTATTGAAAATACTCCGAATTTGCGTTACTTAATTTATAAACCGCTCCTGAGGACATTTCTATAATCTTTCCATAAACCCCATAAATTGAAGGGCTTAGGGCAGTATCGAGCTGCGCCACACAATGGTATCTGTGCCTAGGACTCAGCGTCATCCGGACACCCAAGTAGATAATGACTCCGGCTGTGGAAACTTTTTTCAAGCTACGCCACATCTGCCTTCCGTCCGTTCACTCGTCCGTTCATCAGTCCGTCCGTCCGTCCGTCCGTCCGTCCGTGATGAACGTCAGCACTTGAACCGTTTAGGCGATTTTCGCCAAATTTATATTCTTTGATAGATTGGAATGAACACAAGGCCCTGCGAGTTTGAAGCTGATATTTTGATTTGGAGGGATACTTCACGTGCAGTCTAAACAACATTTTTAATAATTTTTCAATAATGGCTCCTTTTTTTTATTATAAATTGCCCTCGGATTGCATAGAAAACGCATAAAAATGGCGCAGGTCTATTTTTCGAAAAAATCTCAAAATTGTCGACATTTGCAAAAGTCAAACGTTTTTCGTCGACCCCCTACATCCACAATATGGAAGATAGAGATTTTTTTCTTGAATGAAATCTGTTCTATAATGGCATCTTCGAAATATGTAAATATACAATTTTTCGAAAATATGAGTAATTTTTACGTGAAATATAGGCAATTTTTAAACAATTATTTTCTCAAAAATGGCTCCAAATTTTTTCTTCAAATTTTCCCCCTTGTGTTGAACAATAGACGGTAAAAAACTGATGCTGGTCCTCTGTTCTAAAAAGTAGATCTTTAACTAAAGTCAAGTACAGTTTTTTTTAAAAAAAAGAGTAATATTCGTGTAATTCCTGAAATTCATGCAATTTGCTTTAAAAATGTTTCTCAAAAGCGGCTCCATTTTTTTCTTAAACTTTTTCCGAAAAATAAGAACAAATTCTTTTTTCCCCGAAGAACAAAGGACGATTTAAAGAAGGTTCACGTCTCATTTTCTTTGAACTCTCCAAATTTTCGAAAATTGCATAAATTAGAAATAACGCGAGAAACCATTTTTGAGCGTTGGGAAAGCGAAAAAGCGCCTAATGTGCTACTCGATGGACCTGTGCTCGAATTTCGGCATGGAGAAAAATGTTTGCTGATTGGTAACATTTTTGCAGATTCATGTAGTACTAGTAAAATATTGCGCACCGTTACAAATAATGCGAAAAAGTATGTGATGGCGGTGTTGTTTGCAGCCTATACTTCTTTAACAATCATTAGTTTGAAATTCGCACCGTTAAATGAATATTTGAATGACTGTGAATACGTGATCGAGTTGTGCACTGGGAACTAGTATATCTTCGTACCACTGTTCCACATACAGCGCGGCAAAGAGCGACAATTTCCAACGTTTTGTAATTTTCTGTTCAGATATTTTGATCATTCCGTCTATGGTTGAATGTAGAAATAAATCTTTATATTTTTATTTCGATCTCTTTCAAATTTGCATTCGTCAGGTGAAAGCAGATTTGCGTTCGTTAGGCGTAGAACCGCGAATCCGCTCGGCCTCACCGCTTTCAAAACTAAATTACCGTGGCAAGGCATCCGAGCGTCGATAAATACGGAGGAATTAGATAATCAATTAATATATAATCATATTTAAACAATATTAGTAACGAAATAGACGAGAAATAGTTATTAACAATGAGATGTCACAGGAATGGATAATATTAGCGTATTCCACCAATAGCTCGCCACTCTTGTCAGTGCAATATTCGGAGAATCAGGGCTGCTTCCGTCCGGCCATGCCTGGCGAAAAGCGCCATTCAAATTCTTGATACAAACTTGTGTGTTACGGTGTGTTTTTGAGTGTATCATGATTCTTGGGCACTTTACTACGTTTTAGTTGTATCAGGGTTCTATTAATTGCTTTGCATTATTGCAAATCATTAAGAAGATATCATAGATCGGTTGAAAAACAAACAAACAAAAAACAGTTGGTTGCCCTAAATTGAAACATATCCTTTAGACTGTGCAGAAAGGCTGACCCTGCCCTTCCTTATTAAATTTTACAACTAAATTTACCAAATGAAACAAAGTTTACACCAAACACTTTATGGTGTCTAGTTATGAGGTTTACAAATGGTTCTATGAAAGTAAAGTGTCAAAAGTGTTTTGAAAATAACAGGCAAGACCAAGGAAAGACGCCAGTGATATTGTTTGGGTTTCTACTGGATTTTGTAATTTAATTGCTCTTTCAAAATCAATTAATAATAACGAAAAATCAGAATATTTCCTGTCATATTGGTCACAAACCAAAGAATTTTTTTTTATTCTCACCTCAAACTTACACTCAATTTTACGTCCTTAATTACAAGAAAACTACAAACCAACTAATTATATAGCAATTTCAATTTCGATGCAGGCTTAAGTGGTTCAAAAGATTAATTGCAACGAATTTGGAATAATAATGCATTAAAATCTGTTTAATGCATTATTCGCATAATCGCATATTCGCAAATTCGTTTAATACATATCGGAACCTGTACAAGCCGGAAACCTGCCATAACCGGGAAACTTCACTGGCCCGTGACGTTCAATGACATTTTACAGAGCATAAAGTGGAACCTCTCCAACGCGGAAACAACTGTTTTTCATGTCCTGCAGGGAAAAAAACTTTATAACACGGAATTCCTGTGAATTTAGTGCAATTGGAAGAGAGACGCAAGGTGTTTTAATGAGATGAATGTAACTGCAAGCATGTTTAAATTCTCTATCCACGTGACATGCAATTTAGTCGTGGCAGCCGGATATTGAAGGAGAGGAACCTCAGCTGTCAGCGTAGAATTCGACCTTGGTCGCTTGTCTCTCAAGACGTAGGCGGTAGGGGAATTCCCTCTTTCCTGACTCTCTGACGTGGGATGATGTACGGGCTCTTATTCAGGCGTCTCCCTGCAATTTTTATTTTTCAAGTTCTCAATAGTGAACGAAATTCTTCTTTAATTGAAAATTTTTTATAACGGGAGAATGTTTTCTCACCTCACATGAAGCTGCAGGGGCGTATTTCTTTGATGCTACATGTTCTGGTTGTAGACAGATTTCTTCAGGTTTTCCCGAAAGAATGGAAGCTATTATAGACATTACCCAGCCTGGATTGCGAAAAAACACACTGGTCAATTTTAACTCAACCGCTTTAACCACCTCTCCATCCATTTACCCACTTTCTTCAGCATCTGCTGCAAGTTGTCAACGATTCCAGTGGTGTCTGTTAGCAGATGACTCTCGTCTCTCTCTTTATAATGGCTTTGGGTGGGTGTCCAAAATTTGCTTGTTTGTAGAGGAGGTGGTTCTTGATATTTGGGGACGACAACACTTTATTAACTTCCTTAATGGCAACTGTTGCGTCGTCGTTAAAATTTCCTAAAATCTGTGAAATTTCTGTGAAGGTATCCGCGTAGTACATGGCGGCTTCAAGTCAGGAACCCCATCTTGTCAAAACTGGTCACGGTGGAAATGGAATGTTGGAAAAAGATGCCTTAAACGCTGCCACTCTGTTCGGAGCTTTCAGAAACACTTTTTTTCCTGCAGAAAATTTAAATGGTTTACATCGTGGAAATGCCGACGAACTTCTTCTGCCAAAGGATGAGGGGCATGAGTTGCCCAAGTTTGGTGTATCATATTCGAATAAAAAAATTTTAAACTTTGGGCAATTTTGAGCATATACACGTATGCATCAGTCAGAAAAAGCCAACATTTTTCATCCGCATTAAATAAATAAATATTTATTGAGTCACATATACAATTACAATCGTGTATGACGAGTCAATATGATGCCTTGGGTGTGATAGAGCGAAGTTATATGGTATGTTCAGTCTCCGAGCAAACAAGTGGCATCTCAAGCATTTGCTCATTAGAAACAATACTTGTTCTCAAGTTAGATTAAGATTTAATTAGGCAGAGAGCTAAATTACTTGCTAATAATTCAACATTTTCCAATGATGCATATTTTAATTTCTAACACACTACTCTATCATAATACATTAATTTAATATAATATTAATTAATTATAATAATTACATTAGTTAATGAATAATTACATTAATAATAAATTCAATTATGTTTGCAAATACGATCGAAATTTAACAACAGTAGTAACATTCTTATATTTTATAACTCTGAAAATCGGGTGACGCGATGGCAAGTTTTGACCAGTGGGTTTTTTTTTCTTCTTCTATTTTCACAGGATGTATATGCAGATTCTTTTTCTTTGCTTCATTGAAACAGTCACATGAAACAGAAAGTCTAATGGATATAGAAATTCTTATTTATTTATATTTTTTTAAGAGAAAATGTAATTTGAAAATTCCTATTTAACTGTATTGATTTTACGATGTGTTAAAGATACAGGAAAAGACTTTCATGTTACTTTATAAATGTAATAACATTCGGTGGTTTAATGTCTTTGATATCATTGCTAGTTTGTTGTAAATAGTGTATGGCGCTTATTTATGGGTGACTTTTTTGATTAAAGTGTAGTTTCCAATGGGGAAAGGTTGGGGGTGTGGTAGGGTTATCTTGAGGCGGGTGTTGTAAGTATGTACATCGAATATAAAGTAGAACAGGCTGTTCTGGGTGTTCATAGAATTTTCTTTGTGACAATTATTTCAAAGTATGTCCACATGCATGGTAGAGGAAGAATTCTTAGTTTATTAAACAAGGGTTTGCAAAGACTCCAGTTATGAGTGTGGTCATTGTTCGCAGTATTCTTTTTTGATAATGAATGTGCAGTGCTTTCAAGGGGCATTTTTCCCCACCAGGTAATATTATTTCCATATTTATAGGTGTGAGTGACATTTGCAAAATAACATTGTTCGAAGTGTCCTCAAGTTGGAGTTTGCCTGAGGGGTGTATAGGGCATAGCGAACATTTGTGACTTCTTGTTAAGATTTGAGATGTGAGTGTTCCATTTTAGGTTTTCTTGAATTGTTAGTCAAGGAAGGTCGTTTCATGACGATATCCGTTACGGAGTTAGTTGTTATTGAGTCAATGGTGAGAGTTTTTCTTTAGCTCGACCGGAATTAATTTTTGAATATTTAGAGGAGAATTGTCTTGCTAGATGTTTATGATGAGTTTGTTGTTTAAACATTTTCTTAGTGCTTGCAACGTTTTGTGAGTTTTTCTTTATCTTAATATTGTTGCTGTTGGTTTGCTTTGATGATGAATGGTTTGTTTCATCTGCAAACAATTATTTGTTGTTCCTTAAGCCAAAGGACATGACATGTTATGTTTATAGTAAGGAATTAATATTGCGCCAAAGGAATGGATCCTGTGCGGGAACTAGCTCACATTTATTATATTGAGGAAAGGAGTAGCTAATGAGGAGATTTTGTTTTTCTTTAGTGTTGTTGGGGACACTATTTGTCTACGGTTTGATAAATATGTTTGAATCCATTTGCCTGCAATGCCTGAATCTCTAGTATTGTCTAGTTTTCCTTAACAGTATAATGTTGGTTACAAAATGCATGTCAAAAGTGCTTTGACAGAATCTATAGAAAGCAAAATGGGAATTATCTTAACTGATTTAAATGCAACAAGTATGTATTTAAAAAGGAAAGATAGGACTTGTGTCTGTGGATAGCTTATTACTTCTGAAACGCATGTTAGTGCGATTTGTAAAAGGGACATTATTTGCATTGAGAAACTATGGTCTATCATCATAGTAAAGTCGTTCCATTGAATTTTTGAAAATCCTGATAACAGGGATAGGCGCTATAGTTCATTGGGTCATAACTATTTGCCTCTTTGTAACAATGGTTTAGTTTTTGTGTTTTGAAGTATAATCTGAGAATATTGCTGGATTGGTTAGAGAGTAATTTGCAGAAGTGAGAGAGTGGTTGTACTATACATGGAGCATTCAATTCTAAAAACTCCTTTGCGGTTAATAAGAAATCCTGGAATGTTGTCATGGTTTGAGAATTCCTCACATTGTCCAATGTAAAATTTAAAGAGGGGTGTTTCATTATAAAAATATGGAATTACATCTGTTAATATTAGTAAATATGTTTTTGTGTGTTTATTGTTTAGAGAGTGTTGGAGATTAACATATTACTATTTGTGAAAAGTGTTATTGAATATACAGCCCCTAAAATTTTTGTGTGTTTGTCATTTCGTTTTTGTAGTGGAAGCCTCTATGTTTTTTTGTTATTTAATTAGTTGGTGCTGTATGTCTTTTTAATAATGTCACAGGCTTTGTTTTGTTACGTTGCAATTACAATAAAGTATCTTATGATTTGTTTATAATTTTAGCGTGTTGATTTCTCTTTTAGGATCGAATTATATGTTTGTAATATGAATGAAGTGGTTGAGTTACATTTTGTTATTTGTTTATAGTATTTTAGACATGTTGCGTTTTCTTTCACAGTGACCTTTGACTTTGCCAGTGGTTCATCGATGTTAGATTCTTTCTTATTTGGATCTTTTTCACAGGGTTTTTTAAGGGAAAGCAAT